TCTCTAATTTCTAACCCTAACCCTAACTAATATTAGGACCGGTGATGATCACCAGTGGTGATATGTAGTAATTTTCTTCGCAATATTGCAAAAGTTATTATGTAATATTACGGTTTTCTTACACTTCGTAAATTATTGCGCAATATTACGCCTTATTAAATTTGCTGATGTACATTGGTCAAAATTCGATAAGTATTGATGATTTTAAGCGATCAGCTATCATTTGTTGGTGTGTTATTTGTATTGCTACATGATAGCCAATTTTTTTGGGTTGTTTAATTCATGTTTATACTTCTTTATCGCATCTTATTTTAATAACATTATTTTTTTTTCTTATATTTATTAGTTAGTTTTGTTGTTTCGTTTTACAAGAATCGGTTATAATAATAATTTTAATACAACTATGTTGGCACAGAATTTTTACAGCAGATTATAATAATTTTAATGCAGACCAACTCAATCAATAAGTAGCATAAGTAACAATTGATTAGCATAAGTTTTATCGATTAAAAATATTTGATTATAATCAGTTAGAATTTATACTAATAATGTACGATTGATTTTATCGATTAAAATCAAGTTAAATGGCATAATTAAAGTAAATTTTACTAATAATTTATGAGAAAGAGCTTTTGATCTTTCAACTTTTTAAATCACAAAAATAATATGCTTTGCCAACTAATGATTTTTCATTTTTTTTGAGGATTCGGCTATAAACAGGGGAAGCAAGTTCTACTGACCACTAATCAATTAGTAGTAATCCTGGCCGAAATTAAAAAAATAGGCTAAGCCGATTTTTCGACTTGGTCGGTCGATTTTTTCTAAAATCGGCTAGCCGATTTTATAAGTAAAAATTTTTTTTTCAAAAACCGCTTATAACTTTATTGCAAATACTAGATTACATTTGTTTGGTAAATATATTTACAATACTTTTAACAGACTTTCTATTCAACAGTAAAACATGTACTTCAATTTGATAATAGATAAGATTTTATTTAAAAATTTATGAAAATTTTATTCTAAATCGGGATAAGGGTTAAAACAAGGTTGATTTTCTTTTAGGAAAAGCAGATTGTGAACCATATTGGAATAAAGACGGCTTCGTTTATTAGTAATTGTATTTCTAGCATCAGAAAACAAATGCTCAGAGGGAACTGAAGTTTCAGGAATACATAATAACTGTTATACTTGGTGTGCTATTAAAGGAAGGCTTGATCTATTATCATGCCAAAAGGTTAATGGGTTATTTTTTTTATAGAGGATCAAAAAGATCATACTTAGCCATTTTGGGCATATCAAAATAAACTTTTAGTTCAGTTTCAACAGGGCACAACTGGTGGGTAGTTTTTTCAAATAGTAAGCTTAATAGAGAAGTAGATAAATTATTGTTAGGTAAAGAATAATTATTATTTTTTATATCTTCCATCATTCTGTATTTTAATTTATCTTTTGTTGATTTAAATTTTGCTAGCTCAAAATTTAAATCTTTAAATCTTGGATCCAACATAGCTGCAACGTATTCTTCTGGCCTCAGTTTTTCCCAACGTTCACCAAATGACAGCTCAATTTTATCACATACTTTACAAATAATTGAATGTGTAAGAGTTTCTTCTTTTTGATATAAATATTCTTGCAAAATTTTAACTAATAGTAACATCATTGAAAGGGTAGGGTAATAGTCTCCACCTACTATAGTTGTAATATATGCAAATAGACCTAGCAATTCGACCAACTTCTGGACTCCTAGCAAATTATCATCATCAAGAAGTAATTCTTCAAGTGCTTTGGTATTATTTCTAACATCTCTTTCTTTATCCTTTGCAAAATCTTTTTGGAGCTTTTCTATTGCTTTATAAAGTACAAGTAGCCAACTTAATAAGAGATATGTGGAATTCTACCTAGTTGTGATGTCATTTGAAATTGGATCCAAAACTGAAATATCTTTATTATTGGTTAATGGATTTTTTGCTTTAAATATTTCAAGTTGTATTGATCGTAATTTTTCTCTATATTTGTTTTTTCTAGCAACGAATATATTTAAAGCTTTGGCACATTTTATGAGATCGGCTGCACACTTTAAACTATCTCTAACTCCAAGTTGAATAGTATGAGCGGTGCATAAAATATGTAAGGTTCCAATATCTTTTAAAGCTTTTACCATTGAGTTAGCATTGTCAGTTATGCTTGCTATACATTTGTTACTTAAATTCCATTTAGCTAACTCTCTTCTTAAACAATCTTTGATATGTTCAGATGTATGCGGATACAGAAAACTTTCAATTGTGAGTAAAGCTTTATGCATTTTAAATTCAGAAGAAAGCCAGTGTGCCATAATTCCAATGTAGAGTGTATGAACTTTAGTCTACAAGTCAGTAGTAAATGCGAAATATTCTAATATGTTATTAATTAAATCTTTTAGACTATTTTCAGAATAATTTACTGATTCAAATAGCTTTTGCTTAACCATGTCTTTGCCCGAAAATTGGAATTGTGGTTCTGCTTCATGTAAGATATCCTAAAATCATTTATTTGCTAAAACATTGAAAAGTTGTATATCATCAACTATCCATGCTAATATTCTAGAGATAATTCTATTTTGTTTTTTATTTGGAAGTTGTATTGTTCGACGATTGACTAATTCTAATAAAGTAGGCTACAATGGGTCTAATTGAACAGGTTGTAACTATGCTGCTTCTTTTCCGCCACTTAAAGATAACAAAGGGCCAGTTTTACTTAATCTATGTATGGTTCGAAGATAGTTAGCTAAATTTGTTGTACTTGTTGTAATTTCAAAAGTATTTGTATATTGTTTAAGATTATCATCACTACCGATTTATACTCGGCATTTGATTATTTTGGCAGGTTTGTCTTTTTTCATGTAATGCCATATCCAACTTTTTCCTGGTTTAGATTTTTTCTTAACATTGTTATTTCGTAAATTACTATTGCTTTTTCTTTTACTAACTATAATACTTCATTGTGATGGTTTTGACACCTCCGTAATTGTATTTTGAGTGGAATTAGTCGAACTTTCTGAAAATTCTTCATCTGAGACAGGTTTACTATATATTGAGAGCTTATTCGAAGAAAAGTCATCATCTAATAATAATGGATCTTTATCTAATGATAAAGGATATTGTTTATCAAATGATAAGGGTGATTTTTTAGATAATGAATAGAAATATTCTTCATTTGGTAATAACTGTGATTCTTCTAAATATGCGTATTCATCATTAGAGAAGTTTTGCAAGGACATTTTTGTATACTATATTAAGTACGGTATAATTCTCTTTTTATATGTATTCAATTTTGAGGTTTATTATAATAATTCTAATAAATATTTTATTTACAGTATTAATTAATGTATCTTACAACTAATACTTCTGAATTCGGCTTTGCTGAAAGCCTACATAATGATAAGGATCCAGGCACATGCATAAATACAATACTATTAGTACTGTATCTAGCACTTGCAGGACCATAATAATAGCTATCATGTTTTTTTGGGTTAGGGCCTATAAAATATTATGATAGTGCATGAATACTTATTAGTACTGTATTTAGTATTTGCAGAACTATAACTATAGCTATCATGTTTTTTTGGATTATAGCCCGTAAGATCTTATGATAATATACAAATCAGAAGTTCAAATTTTGGATATATAGGCTTTTCGGCAATTTATGTATTATATATGAATTTAGAGACAGCAAGCCTTTATTTAGTTTAGTAACTTTAACATCATTTGATATATAGAATTCACTAAACTAAATAAAAGCTTGCTGTCTCTAAATTTGTATGGATCGCCGAATAGGCTCTATTGTTAATAAGACTTAAAGCTTTTACAATGTATGTTTTTTTCTTATTTTTTTTTTTTCTTTGTTGCATATAATAATGGTAGCAATAATAATTTGTCTTTTAATGGAATCAATACAATAATAGATTCTTTTTTGTTATGTGGATTTAAATCAATTTTATTGTTTTTATTATTGCGGTTTGCAAAATGATACATCTTTGATCAAATTTTATGGATCGCAATTCATATGTATAATCATTTGATTGTTGTTCGATTGTGCGATTGCAAAAATATTTTTATAATTTATGCCTAAATTATATTTATATTCTCAAAATAATATTCTCAGAAAACAATCAGATGATTGTATGTATTAGCTGCGATCTGCAAATTTTAATCAAAGATACATATATTATTTTGCAAACCGCAATAAATAAAATTTTACTAATCCTTTTAATAAATTTAAAAAAATACCATTCCTACTAGAGCTTGTGGGTTTTTGTGTCTAGAAATTTTGTATGAATATCAAAATCCCAATTCCTAAGAAGTAGTATTCCTAAAATTGAATTTTAAAAAAAAAACACAATAATTTTATGAATTTTTTAAATTTTTTTTTCAAAATTTAGTTTCTGGAATATTACCTCTTCAAGATTTTGGTTTTCAGAATTTAGCACATCTGGATTTAGTACCATCAAGATTTTGATGTTCAGGATATTGGCCCAAAATCTTTTAAAGAATTTGTATTTAAAAATTTAATATGTATATAGTTCTAAGTCATAGCAAATCACAAATTCCACAAGTCTTTGATTATCACTTTGCATTTGTTAGTACCGCTATTGTATCAAGTGAATCTAATCGTAATTTCTCATGGCATAATATTCTTTTATTGTTCAGATTTAGTGTTCTATAAGTGGTATTAACAAAGAATTAATAGATCTTAATATACTTCAGTAATTTGACTAGGGGATACATATTATAGTTTGCTACGATGAAAATATAATACTAATATAAATTGATCAATTGTGCGTTATATTAAATGACATTTTTACTAATTTGGCAAATTGTATGCTCAAAACAGGTTTTATTAGAAGCTTTAATTTAATAAATTGCATACACAGTAAATTACGGAAATGCAAGTTGTTTTAATTAAATTATAACTCATCCAAAATTTTTTGGCTAAGCCGACTAAGCCGATAAAATTTCATTGGCTTGGTCGGTCGAAAATTTTTGATCGACTAGAATCACTACCAATTAGCTAGAGCAAGAATTTTTTTAATTATAATTGATTTGTATAATATACAATTGATTAGTATTTTAATCTAGTTATTAGAGCTAACATTTTATCTTTGTCTTGTATAGATTGCTTTGTTGTATCAAAGATCATGTAACTTTTAGGGTAAGAACGTGCTGGATGCATTGAGATATATAAAATTTTTTTTCTTCTTAGAGGTTGTGATTGATGTCTCTCTCCTATTAGGCTAATTTACTTCATTAATCCGAATTAATAAAACTTGCTAGATATATCGAGGGTTAAAGTGATAAATTAACTAAATAATCAAACCTATATTAGCTATATTGATCTTTTATTGATTTTCTTTCTTTCTATCTTTTTCATAAATAGAATCAGCCCCAGATTTGAAATTGTTTATGGAAGTCAGAATCTGCTAAAGAGTGTATAATAGCTTACTTGTCAAATAAACTAGCTCTGAAAATGGATAGCTCTCAATTGTGACACCTATACCTTATTGTCAGAGTTAAATTGAAGCTCTGATTAGTAGTCATGCGTGAAGGTCGTAAAGAATTTAGAATTGAGGCTAGATATTATTAGATAAGTATTAGTAGTGGTTTTTTTTTTTTATCAGTTTGATTTTCTTTATCTCTACTTATTTCATAAATAGAATTGGCTTCAGACTTGGAATCGTGCTTGAATATGTTTAAGTAGGTATTGATAGTGATTCTTTTTTTCCCTTCTCATTTATTGATTTTTTTTATCTTTTTCATAAATAAAATTGGCTCTACATATGTTCGAATATGCTTTGGCGATAATCTTTTTTTTGTTTCATTTATTGATTTCACTTCATACTTTTTTATAAGAATCATGCTTGGATATGTTTGAGTAGGCATTGATAGTGATTCTTTTTTTTCCTTCTTATTTATTGATTTTCTCCATCTTTTTCATAAGTAGAATTGGCTCTACATATGTTGAATAGGCTTTGGCGATAATCTTTTTTTTTGTTTCATCTATTGATTTCACTTCATACTTTTTCATAAAAATTGGAATTGTTTTAAATCGGCTTTGAACTTAAAATAGTGATAAATTGTTCTGGATCAGTTAGTGATTTAAGAATTTCAGCTAGCAGGTTTCTCTTTTTGATTAATAAGTACTAGAGTTTTTTTTTTTTTTTTTTTTGTTTAAAGCCAATATTAATTTTTTTTGTTAATTGAGCATAACTTATATAGGTTTAGAATATGCAGCCATATCATCTTTACAGCATAACCTTTCAGCCATATGCTATATCGTCATCATTATAGTATAGTAACCTGTTAATTGATAGTCAGTGTATAAATAGTATACTGACTTATACATATTAATCAGCTTTTTTTAATTAATATGGATGATATTGGATCAGCATTATTTAGCGGCCATTTGTTGGCTCAGATTATGCCACTTTGCAGTATAATTTGAGTTAATTAAATGACTATTAAATAATACTGATACAATATTATTTACAAAATTTATGGGATAAATTTTATACATGCTGGTATACCATTATAGCACATTTGTAAAATACCCAAAATTTGAAAATTTTGACTACTAATACATAGATAAATACTGTAGTAATTTTGCATAAGATAATCAATGCTTCCCAAGTTAAGGTGTATCATTATAATAATTTTATATGTCTAATGAAATTCATCAAAGAGTGGGAAGATGTGAAATGTGTTAGATGTATTGTTATTATAAATCAAAGTGTTAATAATTTTTTTTTGAATTCAATATTAGAAAATCAATAATAAGTTTTGTTTTCAAAACTTAAATTTGGTGACAAAAAATTAGTTAAATTTGACAAACGTGCCATAATGCATAAAAAAATATATAATTTGCTAATGATTTAATGGTTTTTACTTTAAAAAAAAAACAACCAAATTTATTTTATAAAATAAACAAAGAAATAAAAATTTTAAATAGCATACTTAACTAATAAAAGTTTTTTAATATATACTGCTGTATATTTTAGGGTTTAATACATTTTTTGTACTTTAACATACTACTAAAAACTCTATTTAATTACTACTAAAAAAATATTAAATTGGTTAAAAGTCCCTAAATAGAACCTTTTTGCTATCTCTGTTAATAATAAATCTATATTATATTTGCAATATTATTTAGTAATTAACAGAGATCTATTAACTCAAAGTTATTACATATTGTAGCAATTAATTTTAAATTTAACTAACTATTACAAGCTTATTTATTATGATTTAGATTAGCAAAGGCCACATATCAGATAGATAATTTACATTAGTAGCTTAATCTGCCTAATATTAAATTTTTTTAAAAATTAGTATACGTAGTAATAGTTAAAATTTTTATTTATTAATAATAATAATAAAAATATATTAATTATATTAAATTATATTAAGTATCTAAATTTGTACAATGATCTATATTGTGCATATTGTTTATTTGTTTACATTTTTTAACTAATTAAAACAAATGTCTGCCATGCTCCATATTTGCTTCTATTGTCTTATGAAAATATTATTTCGATTTTGTCTTAAATTATACCTAATTTAACATTTTAACTTAAGATAATAGCAACCTCACTATTGTACAAATAACTATTTACTATCTTTTATATTGCTTTTTATTCATTACAATCCTCTAAATTCCATATATCACATTTGTATATTTAAAATTTCTTATACCTATCTTCTTTTACCTTATTTATATTACCCTTTTTATACCCATTAATCTTCATATCTATATGCAAAAATTAAATTATTTCAAATAATATCATTGATCAATCAATATTAAAATCTTTTAATCTCTTATAAATATTATAATAAATAATAAAATAAATAATACTCTTAAATAGAAACTATGTTAAATAAACTCATAGCATTAATTGACACCACATTTTGTTTAATACTTGTTTATCTAATGCATCCAACTTGCTTTTTGTGTATATATACTAGTATTTGATTTTTCAATTATATTAAAAAAATAATAAAAATACAAAGACTAAAACTCTTTATATAACTCTCAAAAAAAATTTCTTTATTCACAACTCAAAATTTTTTCAATATTTTGTAAATCTTTTTATAAACATAATGCCTAATTATAATGTTCATATCTTTAATCTTATCTCTTTCACTAAATCTTACTAACAATCTATCGAAAATTCAAATACACCTGTAGATACAATTTTCAAACCTTATATATGCAGAAATAAAATAAATC